GTGCATTCCACCAGAATTTTTTTTTTTAAAGTTCCCGTATTTTTTTTGTTTTATTGTTTGTCTTTTCGTCGTTACATTTTTTAAATAGAAAAAAAAAAAAAAAACAATAAAAGAAGATGAAGAAGAAGAGAGAGAAAGAGAGAGAAAAAGAAAAAACGAAATTTAAAATTTTTATTTTATTTTTTTTTTATTTTTTTTTTCTTCCCCCGTTTAATTCGAGCATTAATAATTTTTTTTACCCTCAGGTTCTTATTTTTTTCTCTCTTTTACCCTCTCTCTCTCTCCTCTCTTCTCCCTACTTCTCTCTCTCTCTTTCTCAAAAAAAAAAAAAAAAAAAAAAAACAATTTTCGTCTGTTTTAAACGTTTGTGAGAAAAAAAGACACAAAAAAAATTCGTTTTTTTAAAAAAAAAATATAATTTATAATGAATGTATCATTATTATTATTAATCGTATAAATTTTTACGTCACTCGTGATTACGTCACTCTTCAACAGCAGCAACAACAAAATGGAAAGAAAAAGAAAATGGCGATTTACCTAATAAAAAAAAAATGTTTTCAATAGGTGGTATATATAAAACTTCGCACAGTAGAAATTAAAAACTAAAAAAAACCTTTTTTCTCTTACTAAATGAACCTTTTCGAACCTTTTTTTTTTTATTTCTACGCGTCCTTTTTTTCCATCTCAAAAATATATAAAAATGAAAAATTTGCAATTTAAAATTCAAACTTTTCTTCGTCTTTTTAAACATTATTTTATTTACCAAGCAGACGACGAGGAAAAGCATTAGAAAAATGAGAAAAAGTCGAAAGCTTTTTTCCCCCTCCCCCCTTTTTTTACGTAATAAAAATTGTAAGAAAAGAAAAAAGAAAATGGCGGTGGAGAGGAGGGAGGGGGAAGAAAAAAAATTTTTTTTTCCAAATGAAATTAAAATTATAATGACTGACGAGAACGTACTCGACAAACGAACAAACGAACGAACGAACGAACTGAATTCAATAAATTAATAAATATAATCAATGATTGATTGATTCGATAGGAAAACAAACAACAAGAACAACAACAGGAGAGGGAAAAAAAATGGGGAGGGAGGGAGGAAGGGAAGAATTTTTTTATTATTCATTTTTATTTATATCCCATTATTATTGTTATTATTATTTTAGGTCACGGAAAATGATCGTTTTTTTTTTTTTTTTTTTTTTATATTTAAATTTCTTGGGGAGACCGTAAGACGAGCAAGCAAAATTACATTTTTTTTTTTTTTTTTTCGTTGCAAGATGAGCGTGCAGTTGCTATTTTTGCCGATTTTTTGCGCCACGTGGTCGATTTAAAAAAAAAAAAGGCTCGCCTACGTCGTCGTCGTCGTCGTGGATCTCGTGTTTTCGTACATAAAAATATTTCTTTTAATGGTTTCTAGATTGTTATTTAAAAACGATCAATGTGTTACCATTCCAACTGTGAATCCCCGCCCCCCTCCCCATACACACCCCCACGCATGCATGCACGCACACGCGAACGCACATGCACGAACGCACTCACGTATTTTTACAGTGAAATCCTTGTAAAAAGCAAAAAATTTAAATAAAATCCATTAATTAACTTTTATTATTATTATTATTATTATTATTATTATTATTATTTTAAGTATTATTATTAGTATTATTATTATTATTTATATTCTTTTTTTTTAATTATCGAATTCGTTCGGCTCTCACGAATTTTTTTTTTTTTTTGTATTTTTCGCTTGAACGGTTTTAGTCGTGCGTAACTAAAATTCTCTTCTCTTCGCCCCCCCCCCCAAATCCCTATGCCGGCGCCCTTCTCCCTTCATGATTTTTTAGCGACGAAAATAAAATTTACATCAGCTTGTATTATATTTCTTTGCAAATTTAAAAAAAAATTAAATAAATAAATAGTTATTAATTATTATTAATTAATTAGTTAAATAGAATATTGGCGGTAAAAGTGTGTCATTGAATCGTCTGAAATATATCATCCGTTGTTTGTACGATGGCCAACAACCGAGAGAGAGAAAAAAAAAATTTTTTTTTTTTTCTATCTTTCGGATTTTGAGTGTTTTGACGTCATCATCATCATTATTATTATTATTTTCTTTTAAATTTCAGGACCGGTTGGAATACGTGATGACGAAGTAAGAAGGTTGGGTCGTCCTGGAGCGAGAAGAGACGATCCTAGGAGACACACGCTGTCGGGAGGTCATCATCAAAGTTCAAGCGTGGCCAGAAGCATGGATTTAGAGGTAAATAATAATGATAATAATAATGATAATTTGTTTCCATTCCGCGAGCGAGCGCGCACGCACGCACACGCACCCCCACCCCGGACCCGATTCGTTTTCCCTGCCAAACGCAAAAGTTTTTTTTTTTTGAATTATAAATGTTTAAACCTTTTAAAACTTTTTTTTTTGTTTTGTTTTTTAAAAGGAAAAAAGGAAAAAAAAGGAAAATGTTTTTATTTGTAAACCTTTTATAAATCTTATGGCGGTTATCACGTTAAAAGGTTTACAACTGTCAGTTACATCTTTACAAAATTCTCTTTCAATAATTTTTTTTTTTTTTTTTTTTTTTTAATACTACAACGCAATGTGTTTCTTCTTTACCCCCCTTTCCCCCTACTACCCCGCCTCCTCTTTTTTGTTTTTTTTATCCTTCAAGAAAATCCCGAAAACAACAGAAAACAGAAAAAATTATTGAATTCGAATGAGAAACAAAAAAAAAAAAAAATTCGAGAGAAGAGAGTACGTTCAGAAATTTATTTATTTATTTATTTTTTTTACGGTCCCTCTCCCTTTACCCCTTCCTTCCCCTCCACACGTTGAAAATAATAAAGTCGTGAAACGTCATTAAATTACTTTATTACGCAGGCTAGAAAATTTTTTTGTTGTTTCTGTTGCCTGATAAAACAAAATTTTTTTTTTTGTAAAAAACATTTGGCCTTGTTTCTTTCTCCTGTTGGTAGTGGTATGAATCATTTTCTGGCAATTGTTTTCATGTTCTCTTTCTCTCTTTCTCTTTCTTTCTCTGTCTTTCTCTTTCTCTTTTTTTTTATGTTTAAAAAAAAAAAAAATGGTTGATTTATATCGTATGTCTGGTTTTTAGATTTTATTTAAATAAATATGTAAAAGAAAAAAAAATGCTTAGATTTTGTCGAACACCTTTTTGGCAAAAACATCGTGAAAAAACGATGGTGTTGGTGGTGGGGGGGCGGTGGTGCTGTTTACAGGGCGCCACATTTGTAAAAACCATCAAATAAAAATATAAATGAATGAATTGTTTTTTTTTTTCCTTTTTTTTTTTACTCTTGTGAATATAATTCTAGAACTTTATGTTTTTAGTTATTTTTTTGGAATTAATTTACTGGAATTAGTTAAACATGTAAAATTTATATCAATGTGCGTGCGTGTGTGCGTGTGCGAGTGCGTGCGTGCGTTAAGACTGGAGTCGTATTTTTAAACGAAAACGTCGATATTTTTTTTTTTTTTGGTTCTGATATTTTGGTACGCGTGATATTATTTATATGTTGTGTTACGAGTAAGCATTTGGTTTAATTTACAATAAAAATTTTTTTCGTGTCGTGCTGCGTTGCTTTCCGTTTGTTTGTTTGTTTGTTCCTTGTGATTTACACGAAAAGAGACATTTGTTACGATTCGGTTGCCACTTTTTAACGTCGCCTTAATAATAATTAATTTGTTTTTTTTTCTCTCTCTCTCTCTTTACTCTTTCGAAGAATTTAAATCGGTTACGTCAATATCATCAATATCGAACGTTCGAAGGGTGGGGGGGTGAATTTGTAGTCTCTCGCACGCGCACACGCACGCACACACGCACACGCGTCTTATTTACATCCATCTTTGCATCATGTGAATCGATTATTTATTTATTTATTTTTTATTTTTTTTTTTTTTACGCTGACCGTTTGGCAGATGAGTTCAAAAGCTCAAAGGAAAAAGGTAAGTTGTTGTCGTTGTTTTTTTTCCCTTTCGTTTCCCACTCCCCCTCCTTCTCCATCCCTCCTCTCCCTCCCTCGATAAATCAATGATTAACCTTTTCGACATCGTTATTATTTTTCTCGATATCATCATCGTCGAAATTTTTTTTTTTTTTTTTTTCGAGGGTCTTTGTTTTAAAGAGAATAAACTTTTTACGGGTGGGGGATAGGGGAAGAGAGGGAGGGGAGGTAAAAGAGAAAATTTACAAAACTCGAAACGTATACATATACGTGTTCACATAATTGTAATGTTTTAAATTAGCCTCTAGAATTTGTTGTTGTTCGTCCAAAGTTGGGAAAAGAATTTTTTATTTAACAACAACAACAACAACATCATTTATTTCACATCGTTAAAACCGCTTCTAGGCAACAACAACGGGGAAAAAAAAAAGCTATAACATATATCACCCCCATATTTCAACCCTTTTTTTTTTTTCCTTCTTAACCCCAAAACATGTCATTTTTTTTTATTTTAAGCTTTTGTTAAATCATTTTTCCGTATTTTTTTTTTAAAACATAAAAGAAAAAACCTTTGACCCATTTTTATATTTTTTTTTGTGTAATGAAAATTTGCTGCGGTTAGTCTTTTTTTAAACAATTATTATTATTATTTGGGGGGAAGGAGGGAGGGAGAGAGAGGGAAAGAATTTAAATCAGGATGATTGTAAGGTAGGTATTAAATTCTAGTGTGCAAAGATTTGGGGAGGGGATGAAAGTTAAAAAAAAAAGGAAAAATGTTTTTTGATTTTTTCCATCCTTTTATTATTATTATTATTTTTATTATTATTATCTTCTCTCTCTCTCTCATTTTATTTACCTTTTAACGTGTAAAATTTACGAGCGTAAAAAAAAAAAAATAAAAAAAAATAGAAAAAAATAGAAAACTTTGGTTGTGTGAAAAGTCATTTAAAAATTAATGAATTTAATTCAATCATTTTGAATTTATATTATAGAGTCCTTTGCCCAGAGGATATCCTCCGCCTTCGTCCGCCATGTTGTACGATGACGATCCGGGTATTATGTCGGAAGCGGAAACTTCTTCGACGGGATTCCGAAGAGGTGGAAAACAGAGATCATCCCTTCCCGTTGTTCGGACTCCATCTAAAACTTTGGAAAGGCCCTTGGGTAAGTTTTTTATTCGTTATTATTTGCCTATTGTGTCTTTTCCACGTCGAGTTCGTGCGTAAGAAGACATCTTCTTACACGTCAAAAACGTTTGTTTTTGTTTGTTTGTTTGTCTTTTTTTTTTTTTTTTACTAAATATTTCGCTTCCTTGATTGATCAAACGTAGATTATTATTTGTAACATAATGAATAATCAAAAGGTTTATGGTGGTGTGTTGTTTTATAGGAATGAGGGCAATATCTAGGCCACCGTCACATAAACCTGTGATGTTGATGGTCAACCAACCTCCCGAGAGCCTCATCGGGTCTGGTGGGCCTACAACTCACAGCGGTAGGGGTTAAATAATTTTATATACTATTTATTATATATCTTTTGTAGTTGTTAATATTATTATTATTATTATCATTATCATTATTATTATTATTATTATTATTTTTTGTTATTCTATTCTCCCGTATTGCACTTTTTTGGTTTTAAATGTATTTTTTGTTTCATTTCGACAACTTTCCCCCACCCACCCGTCCCCCGTCTTCGATTTGCCCCCCGCTATTCTTTACGTTCAGATCGATTTTTTAATATCTGTTAAAAGAGTGTTAAATTCAATTTAAATATTAATTTAGTTTTTTTTTTTTTTTTTTTTTTTTTTGGAAAATTTATTTGTATACGTATAAATATTTGGGGGGGGCAAGAGGTGGGAGGGGGGCGACTTAGACCGGTTCGTAACCGCACGGTAAACATCATCACATTTTTCCAAAATGTTTTTTTTTTTTTCATAAAAATAAGTATAAAATTTTTCGCATTTCGTTTTCGCATTTTGCCGTTTTTGCGGTTTTCCCCCTCCCTCCCTCCCTCCCTCTCTTCCCGCTTTTTTCGGTCTCTCTTTTCCCTTCCCCTCCCCGCTGCGGCTACCGCCTTTCACCCGCCATTCTCTTATTCGGAAATTTATTTTTGAATTACATCGGGAAGTAATAAAAAAATCAAAAAAAAAAAAAGAAAAAAGAAAGGAAAAAACAAAAAAATTTTCCTATTGGTTAATTAAATTTTTTTTCGACCAATGAAACGACTGAGTTTTCATTACGTATGAACTTTTAATAACCAATCAAATAATTTGTTTTTTTTTTTCGAGCTTACAAAGGTTTAAAAAATATGTCGTCGGAAAATTTTCCTTTTCCTTTTTTTTCCTTGGTAATATTTTTTCTAAATTTTTTTTTTTTAAAAAAGAAAAAATATTATTTCGTTGGGGGGCGGGGAGGAAAGAGGGAAAGAAAAACAAAAACCCCCAAAAAAAAGGGAAAAAAGTTTTTTTTTTTTTTTTAAATTCAAATTTCTAAAAAAATCAGTGAAAAAATAACATGTAAAATTTATTCAATGATTTTTCCAAAAAAAAAAAAAAAAATTTTCTTTTTTTTTTTTTTGTAAAATAAAATGAATAAAAAAAATATTTATATAAATACGTATGGAAGGCGGTGAAATGATTTCCGGTGCGATAATACAAAGTTTTTACGTTTTTTTTTTTGAGGGGGGTATGGGGGTAGGGGTGGCGTGCCGAAAGGGAAAAAGACGAAAGAGGAGGAGGAGGAGGAGAGAAAAAAATCAAAAAAGGTTGAAATCAAAGGTACATTCAACGGGAAATGTTTTTTAAAAAAAAAAAAATTCTCACTCTCGCCTCTCTTTATTTATTTTCCTCTTTTTGTAAAAAATAAAAAAAAAATGGCGGCTGTAAAAAAAAAAAAATATTTAATTTTCGTAATGTTATCGTCGTCGTCGTACGAACGTTAATGAACGTACAAACGAACGAACGAACGAACGAACGTTTTTTTTTTTTTTTTTGACTTTCAAAGGATAAAATGAAAATATGGTATATTTTTTTTTATAAAAATTTTATTTTTGCAAAACAACTCATACGACCTTTGACCTTTTTATTATTTTCCCTCCCATCCCTTCCCATTCCTTTCTCACACACTCTGTGAAAATTTCTTCTCTTTTTTCTTCTTTCCCTCCCCCTTCCCTCCGCCGCATTTCCTCCCTCCTTCTTTGTGTTGTGTTGTGTTTTTTTTTTCACATTTCATTTTTCTTCTGCTTTTCTATATCATATTATAATTCTAAATCGAAAAATGTCATGAAAAACCAGTAGTAATAATAATAATAATAATAATAATTTTTTTTCCTTCATACATTCTTTTTCTTTTTTATATTTTTCTAGAATATTTTTTTTAATGATTACGTACCGAATTTGTATTTTTTCTTTCTCTCTTTCTCTTTCTCTCTTAATCTCTCTCTGTTTTTCTCGTCGTCGTTTCCACCCGACTTGAAGAGAGAGAGAGAGAGAGAGAGAAAAAAATATGCGTCGCAAAAAATGAAAACAAAAAAATTTTCTTTGACAGTTAAAAAGAAAAACAAAAAAAAAAAAATTTTTTTTTTTTTGTTTTTCCGTGCGTCGCTAAAAATTGATTCCGGGAAAAAAAAGGCGAAATTAAAACGGAAATGAAAAATCGTTTTCGAGAAAAACATTAGAAAACATAATAATGATAATAATAATAATAATGACGATTGAAATTATTTATTTTTTATGACTAGTTGTTCGCGAAAAAAAAAAAGAAAAACGTGCGTGAAATTTTAACGTGGCATTAAAAAAAAATAATTTTGATTGAATCGATCGCGATTATTATTATTATTATTGATTGTAAATTTCATTTCACGTTTCAAACAAGTTTTTTTTTTTTTTTTTCAAAAAAAGGTCATCGAAGTTGTCGAAACTTTAAAAAAAAAGGAAAAAGGAAAAAGGTTGCGAAGTATTTTGCGAAATTTTAACAATTAACGTCACGCACAACCGAAAAAACAAAATTTCAAGGGGATTGTAAACAAAATAATGATAATAATAATAACGATTCGTATTCGTAAAAATTTTTCGTATTTTTAAAAGTATCGAAGAGAGGAAAATTAAAAAGAGAGAGAGAGAAAAAAAGAGGAAAACCTTCATCGGAAGGACGGAAAAAAAAAAAAAATTGTGGAAAATTTTACAAATCCGTAATCAAATTTTTTTAAATTTATGTAATGAAATTTTACACGAGAGAATTAACCGCACCCACCCCCTACCTTCCTCCCATTCGGGTTTTATAATTTTTTCAGAGAGAGAGAGAGAGAGGGGAGGGGAAACATGTGGCCAACCTTTCGCATCATTCTTACGAGGAAGGGGAAGGATAAGGTTACGAAAATAACTTTTTTTTTTTTTTTAACTCTAAAAAACTTTTTTTTCAAAATGGCTTCCTTTCTCCCCCTCTTCCTCTCACTCTCTCTCTCTCTCTTACTCTTTATCTATGAAATCTCAAAACATAAAATTTAAATTCATTAAAAAAAAAAAAAAACGCCCCCCCAAAAAAAAAAAAAAAAATTATGTAACTTATCAAAACAAAACAAAAACAAAAACGGTTGAAAAAAAAATCAATAATTCGATAAACAAAAAAAAAATGTTTTTAAATATAAAAAAAACCCGCGGAAATTGTTTAAACAAAAAGAAAGAAAAACTTTCACTCGTAATTACTTTCTACAAATAATAGCAGAAGACAAAAAAATAAAAACGGTGTAAATTATTTTTATCATCTTGAATTTTTTAAAAAAAAATAAAAAAAAACTTATTATTATACTTGTTACGATAAATTTTTTTTTTTTTTTTTTTTAAAAATTGTCACTTCCTGTCACGATGTTTATCATCATCATCATCATCATCCTCATCGTCATCGTCATCATCGTCAAGTTAAAAATCGTTTTAAATTATTTAAAAAAAAAAAAGAAAATAAAGGACACGACTAATTGAACTTGATTTTTTAAAAAAATTTTTATTTTTTTAATTATTATTTATTTAACTTTATTTTACATGCTTTCAACTTTTCTCTCTCTCTCTCTCTCTCCCACTCTCACACTCTTTCACTCTCTCTCACTCTCGCGCGGGTTCGTTGCTTTTAAATTTATTATTATTATTATTATTTTGTTTTTAAAAAGTTTTTTTTTTTTTTTTGCTCTCTGAGTGTAATTTATTCCGAATATGCTTTGCATATATTTTTACCACGTAATAATTTTTTTATATTTTTTTTATTTTATGTTTGTAAATTATTATTTATTTAAAAAAAAGGAAAAAACGCGGGCGTTGCGTAACGTTTCCGGTTTTCCAATTAATTGAATCGATGTTAAAAAAATTTTATTTTATTTCCTCTCCCCTACTCCTCGTTTCGTGGGATTATCTGTGGATCGATTATATCATTTTAAACTTTTTACGCGCGAAATTTTTTTTTTTTTAAAATGTTTATGACAAAAACAACATTATTATTATCATCGTCGTCGTGACATATTTTTATTAATTTATCGTCTGCTTTTAAACATTAACTTTTTTTTGTTTTTATTAATATTTTTTTTCTCTCTCCCCTTCCCTCTTCTGTCAAATTTAAAATTTGGTTTTTGCACAATTTAATAAAAAACGCTTGCGTTATCATCATTTTTAAATACTTTCTTACAACAACAATAATGATAATAATAATAATAATAATAATGATAATGATAATAGTGATAATGATAATTAGAAGTATGAGTTACGCATAAAGACATGCACGATCTTTTTTTTTTTTGGTTTTTTTTTTTCGTTTTTTGTTTTGGTTATTCTAATTACACGACGTGTACATAATAAATATGTAAATAACAATAAAATTACACAAAAAAAAAAAAATTATTTAATTGATAAGAAAGAAAAAAAGAAAAGAAAAATGGCAACCTTGCATTGTTCTTTAATTTTTTTTTCTTTTGATATTAATTTTCAGGTTTGGTGTTTCTTCAGTACCGTAACGAAACGAAAAGAGCTTTGCTCCCGAACGAAATAACATCAATTGATACGGTGAAAGCATTATTCGTGAGATCATTTCCGAAACAATTGACGATGGAATATTTGGATTCGCCCATGGTTAAAATATACATACACGATTCGAACAAGGACATGTTTTACGAATTGGAAGATTTACGGTTGGTACCCCTGATTATTATTATTATTATTAAAATTTCCACGCTGTTGCAAAAGTTTTTGACGATTATTTATGACTTTTTTTGTTGGTTACTCAGGTCTCATCTGAGAGACATACGAGATCGTTCGATATTGAGATTGTTCGAAGCGGCGGATATAAATGGGGGTGCAGGTGGTGCCGTACCCGGCGGACCTGGTCTCTTAGGTCCTGCAATGTGGGACCAAGATCAAATGTATTTTTCTGAACCCGAATTCGATTCGGAGTATCAACATCAACACGTTCACAAATCAAAGGTAAAAATTATTATTATTATTATTTAATCAATCGTACCCCCGCCCCCCCCCCAAAAAAAAGAAAAAGTTTTCTTGTCGATATCCCATCAATTTGCTTTTTCGTCGAAAGTTTTTTTTTTTTTTTCTTCGGAAAATTATCGATAATCGATACAATCGATCGATTTGGTTTTATTAAGAGCGAGAGAGAGAGCGTAATAAAGTTGTCACTTTTTGTTTGTTTGTTTGTTTTGAAAAAATTCAAAACATGTTGAAGAAAATAAAAGAAAAAGCGTTTGTTGCCGGTAGCAAAATATCGAATATGTTGAACAAACATCAAACACGTTTTCCTCAAAAAAAAAAAAAATTTTACGCTCATTCAATCACTTCCTGTAAAAAAATTTTTTTTAAAACAATCGCGACGTTAGAGTTAATAATAATAATAATAATTTGTCATTTTTTTTAAATTTACATCGAGTTGATGACTGGTTGTATTCGTTTGTTTGTTTGTTTGCTCGTTTGTTCGTCGGTTTTTTCATCTCTCCGCGAATACGTTTATGTAACGTACTTGATTTTCAATCGATTTGATAATATTTTTAATCTCGCCGATCGTTATTCGTAAAAAAAAAAAAAAAAATCATTTTCAAAACAAACAAAAAAGGATAATAATAATTACTCGACAACCGGGAAAGGGAAAGAGGAAAAGAACCCCCCAAAAAAGTAAAACTTGTCGGGGATTAATAATATCTCGGGGAAAAAAAATAAATAAATAAATCATTTTTGTTTTTATTATTTTTATTACGTAATAATTTTTATATACTCGCGATTAAATTTTTTTTTCTTTCTTCTTCTTTTTCTTCTGACACGACAAACTTTTGTTGTTTAATCGTTCGTTTTACGGAAAAGTAATTTTTTAAAAAAAAAAAAAAAAATAATAAGAAAACTTATCGTCTAACTATTAATTACGTGGAAAGAGAAAAAAAAAAGTAGTTACTTTAAAAAGTTGTTATCGTTTAAACCGCTACCACTACTACTACTACTACTACTACCACTACGACTACCACTAATGCCACGATTGATATTAATATAATTTGCCAACCGCTTTGTGTTTTAATCCATAACTTAATCGATTATGTTTTTTTTAAAAATATTTTTGCGGTAAAAACTCATAAAATTTTATTTATTTTTTTTTGTCCCTTCTTCTTTTCCAAAACCTTTTAACGGTTGTAACTTACTAACGGTAGCAAAATTGTTATTGCTTATGTTTGCGGTAATTTTTTTTTTTTTTTTATTACCGGTTACGATTTATTTAAAACGTGGACGCGAAACGACAAAGGATTGAAAATGTGAACGATGACCGCAGTAAGGAAATAATAATAATATTAAATTACGTATTTTGTTTTAAAAAAAAAAACGGTTCCATCGATTTAATTTTAATATGTTAAAAGTAATTAAATGGGGTGGGGGTAGGGAGGGGGAAGGGGTTGGGGTTTTTCCGGGTAAAATAAAGTGTCGCTTTTTTTTTTGCTGTCGTTCAATACGCGGTACGGTTTCGTTAAAAAAAAAAAAATTTGAAATAAATCGGTTAGAAAATTGTCCGCCGCCATATTTGAACGAATTGTTTTTTTTTTTTTTTTTTTGGTTTTTATCCTCTTTCTAATCGCAGTGTCAAAGTTCGCGACAGGTTGTTGTTGTTTTTTTTTTTTTTTGCTGTTGTGTTGTTTTAACAACGAGGGTCGACGAAGAAGAAATAAATAAAAATAAAAAATAATTTTATAGTTTTGTAATATAACTTTGGCTATAAATATTCGTTTTATTTAAAAAAAAAAAAAAATTTACATTTATATATTACATAGCGTTATTAAGTGCGTGCGTGAGTGCGTGCGTACGCGCACGTACGCGCACGCACCGTTTTTTTTATGAGAAATGTATGTATGTACTGGTGTGCGAAAATTTCATCAAACATAAATTAATACATGGGAGATGATTAATGTCGGTTATAATGATTTTTTTTTTTTTGTAGGGAACCGGGGGGCCTGGGGCGGGGTCGGGAGAGGGAAACAGGGAGAGCTAATGTGTCGCATTATCGTTAAAACGAGTCACCCATTTTTTTTTTTCTGTTTTTTTTTTTTTTTACGTCGTTTATTCCTACGACCGTTATTACTGTAATAATTTATTTTACCGAACGAATCGGCGAATTAAAAAAAAAAGAAATTATTATTATTATTATTACTGCTACTGCTAGTACTACTACTACTGGTTTAATGCGACGCATTACTCGTTTTTTTTTTTAAATGAAAGCCATTTTTGTTTTGTTGTTGTTGTTCTTCCTCCTTACTACTACTACTACTACCACTAATGCTATTCCTTAGTCATTTTTTATTCATTAATTTTTTTTTTCCGACGGCAAACCTCAGGTGCGTTTGCCGTTTTTCCCTACTCGATTTATATACGTATGTACGTAAGTAATAAATAATGATAATAATATTATTATTAAATGGTATTTAAAAAAAAAAATTCATTCCCTCCGCCATTTTTTGTGTGTTTTTGTGTTTTTCCACCCCCCCCCCCTAAAAATTTTCACATGGTAATTGAGCTTTTAATAAAGATGCACCGGAGAAAAGTTTTTTTGGTGTCGATTTCCACGAAATTACGGAAACTTTACCGAACGGATCCGAATGACAACCCGAACACATGGATAATATTTTTTTAACTTCCGTTCTCGCTTGTTCGAATTCACTTTCCTTATGGGATTGAGTGTTTAAAGTGTGAGGATCGTGTTGTCCGTAATGATTGTCGATGTTGTCGTTGTCGTTGTCCGTATCGGTGATGTCTCCTTCTATTCCGACTTCTTCGCCGGATGATGAGAAATCGGTACCCGGTTGAAATTCAACGTTGTATACGAATTGTGGTATCTGAGGTGATTCGTAGTGGGTTTTAATGACTTTCGCAGTACCATCGTTCGAATAATGATCCCCGAGTAGTAAATATCTTTTGACCGGTTCTTTTTTCTTTCCTCGTCCTCCTTCTTCTTGTTCTTCGGGTAACTTTTCAACTTGTCTTTCGCCTTTCTTTACATTTTTCGATTCGTCCCGCGAATCGTCCGATGGGAAAACAAATGATTTTTTATAATTATCACGTTTAACTCTTGAACTTTTTCTCAATCCCCAATTTGTGGTTGTTTGCGGTTCTTCTTCTTCTTCTTTTGAATTTTCTAACGATTTCTTCGTTTCAATTTGCCTTCGTCGACTCCTTATCGTAGCCGCAGGAGTTGTAGTCTCATTTCTTGTTTTCTCACTTTCTAATCCATCATCCGATTTTGAATATTTAACTTTATCAACTCTTACCTCTCGCGATAAAACTTTGTTTAAAACTTTTAAATTTTTTGTTTTCGAGTGGGGGGAACCGTCGAGCTCTTCTCCTCCTTCTCCCTCCGACGATTTTCTTTCCGGTTCTTTAACTCGATGCTTTTTTTCATTTGAATTCAATGTTCCGTTTTCTCCGTTACCGTCGTGTCGTTTGAAAACTGAGTGCTCTGCGATCGCAATGTGCTCTGGTAAAACGTTAAAAGTGACGAGGTTTCCCTGATTCAGAACCGGCGACAGCGGAGCAGCTTCGTATTGAGGATAAATAATTTGGGGAGGAGGATTTTCCCGATTGGAATCGTCGACTATGTCCAAATTTCCATTTTCCTTAATTGTTTTTATCAATTCTAATATGTTGACGTGAGTTTTAAGTTGTCCGTTTTCTAAAAGCGGGTGACTCGTCGTCGGCGGCATTTCTAAACATTTAAATTTTTAAAAAGAAAATTATTTTTCGAGTCATACGATTTAAGCGGGGAGGTGTGCACGAGATAAAAATATTTTACCTTCCGGCGGTGCTTCCGGTGGTACCGGCGTAGTGCTGGCATAATGACTGTGATGATGAGTGTGATCGTTGTAAGCTTTTCCGGGAGAGAGAGCGACTTTGTACATTTGCAACATGGCTATCTCTCCTTGGAGTCCTTCCAATCCTTGGAACACGTGTGGAATTTGATGGAATTCTTTACCGAAATTGACGTGTTTTTGACCGGATATTGCAACTCCTTTACCTGGAATTTTATATCCTACCAACTGTCGAGAAAAAAAAAAAAATTTTAATTTTATTTTACGAATTTTTTTTCTTTTTTTTTTTTTGTTAAACATAATTTACCAAGTTATGATATCCTCTGCCGATTCGATGACTGTTGACAAAAACTTGCCACTCTCCGGTATGTCCGTTCCACGACTGACAAGTATGGTACCACTTGAACAATTTGAATGGGTAATTTAATCTAAAAACGGTTTGTCCCATAATTTTCAAATTGAAAATACCCGGTTCGGCATTATTCGAAACCCACATGTAAATATCAGTTCTATGAACTTTTCCTGGAAAGGAAAATTTTTTTTTTTAGGCGTGGCATTAGAAAGGCAGAATAATTTATTTGTTTATTTATTACCTGAGTAAGAAAACAATGAATGATCTCTGCTTTTTTCGAATAATTTAAACCACATGCAAATGGTGAATTCTTTTAAATCGGGCATTCGAGTTTTATACTGAACATACTGAAAGAAAAACAAAGAAAAAGGAAATAATCGTGTCGTTAGATGATTTCGGGAGGGGGGGGGAGGTTCGATTTTTCAAAAAACAAAAGTTTTTACCGTACCTGATTATAAACGTCTTGACGAAACGAAACCTTATACACGGCACAATATTGATTGTACGGATTGGTCGAGAGGGGAAAAGGTTTCAATGAGGTTTCCGGAGGTTGAGGTACGACGTATTTGAGTTCGCTGTTGAATTTGTGATTGTGAGGCAAAACCAATTGAACGTCGTTTGATAATTTGGATTCGAACGTGTCTTGAGGTCGATAATACACGGTGCTGAAAGATTTTTGCGAAAATGGTTTGTAATTGAAATACCTAGGGATTTTTCTAAAAACGTCTTGATACGAATTTAAAGTCAACGGCAAAGGTTGTGGCGGTAGTGGGGGAGGAGGAGGAGGAGGATGAGCGACGGCCGAATGATCGTTTTCGATATCTGGAAAAAAAAAACAAAAATGTCGTCGTAATCAATCGATCACAAAAGTTTAAACTTGTTTTGAAACTTAAATTAAATCGTCGAACTTTGACGTCGTCGCTAATGAAAAATTTAATAAGTAAATATTTTACAGGTTCACGCGCGAACTTGTCGATTGAGGGGAAAAAGTTTTTTATTATTTATTTATCGATCGAAAGAATATCATTTTGATTGACAATCGAATTTTTTATTTACTCTATGAAAAGTGATCGATTAAATCTTGGAATCTCAAAATCGGTAAAAGCGATTTAAAAAAGAGAAAAAAATGTCGGAATTTGACGGAATGACGTAACGCCATCAAACCATCGACGACGAGATGTTTTTTTTTCATCCGTAAAAAAAAAAAATGTTTAAATTGAATTTATTTAAATAATGATAATAATAATGATAATAGAAATGTCGAAAGTGAAAGCCGAATAATAATAATTATTATTAAAATTTTACACTACATGAATTAATTCGGGTAAGAAGACATAAAAGAAAGAAAAAAAAAACAAAAAAAATCGATTAATCGAAATCGTTTTTCTCGATTGTAAAATAAGTCAATAATGATGATAATAATGATTATTATTAATATTATTATTATAATAGAGTTCACGTGGGTGCATTGTTATTGACCGTGGATGAGCGAAAAAGAAAAAAAAAATTTTTATTTTTTTATTCCAACTGGAAAGTTCACATTCGTGCGTATACAAGAATTTGTTTAAATTAACTACCGGAAATATTTTATTCACTTCCTTTTTTCTCTCTCTCTCTTTCTTTTTCTTTCTTTCTCTTTCTTTATCTACCACTTATATTTGAAAGTTGGCCGGAAGGTATTAAAAAAAACGAGAGAGAGAGAGAGAGAGAGAAAAAAAATTATTATTTTTTAAGGAGATATGCGTTTACAAGTTTTTTTTTTTTTTTTAATACAAAAGAGATGACGCGTAATTTTTTTACGAAAGTGCGTAGATGTGAGGAGAGGGGGAGAGGGGGGAAGGGGAAAAAAAGGTTGTCTGTGGTGATGCATTACACGATGAAAGGTTTTTTTTCTTTTTTTCTCTCTGTAAAAATTTTTTTTTTCATTTTCATTTTTTTTTTTGTGGAGGAGTCCCTGCCTTTTCTTCTGCCTTATCCCCTCCCCTCCCCTCCTATCTCTCTCTCTCTCTACAGAATTGTTATTCTTGTAGCGTTGAAGAAAATTTATTGTTTATTGCTCTCCTTTTCCTGACTGACATTATCAAGTATTGATTTTAATGTTCGCGTGAAAGGAACTGTGGCATGGCACTGTCGGGAAGCAATTTTATTAAAGTTTGGATTTCTGACTCTTAAAATGAAAATGGTTGACTGTCGGAACAAAAAAAAAAAAAATGGCGGAGGAGGGACTGTGTGAGAGAGAGAGAGGGGGGGAAGGAAAACGAACGAAATTTTTCTTTTCTTTTCTTTTCCTTCTAGTTCGACGGGTCATTTGAAGTTTTTATTCTTTTCTTTTCTTTTCTTTTCTTTTTTTTTTTTGTTATTTTTTCGTTTCGTCTGCTTTTTTTATTTTTTATTTTGTTTTACTTTGTTAATTGTAATTATGAGTTTTGTTAAGTCAACGAGATAGTTTAATTTTCTTTATTTTCCCTCTCTCTCTCTCTCTTACTCTCTCGCTCTTCGTTTTTATTTTCCCTTTTTTCCGCTCCAATTTCATTTTCCTTTTTTTTTTTTTTTTGCTTTTCTCCCTCTTCTTCTTTTTTATCCTTCATTAAGTCAAGTTTTTTTCCTATTCCCGAAAACCTTTAGAATTTTAAATTTTGACGATTTAATTTTAAACATAAATTTTATTCTAATTTTTTTTATTTTTCTTCCCTTTCCTTTCCTTTCCTTTTCTTATTTAAATATTTATTATTACGGGATTTTGTCGCGTCGTCCGCCATTACAATACTTTACTTTTCATTGTCTCTTAAAATAAAAAAAAAAAAAAACTCACCGTGCGATTGATGATGGTGCTGTCGGTGCTGTTGACGGTTCTGTTGGTGATACTGAACGTAATGTAATTTTAAAGGTCTCGAATTCGTCAATTCGATTTCTTGTCGGTTGTCGTAAACAACCGAATCTTTGTCTCTATTTGAGAGATCCGAGGATTGATAGATGCGGCCGACGGGTCCATGATTGGGCCAGACATTCGTCAAATGTTTACCCGAACCTTCCTCACTCCCGACTAAAAACAACAACAACAACAACAAAAAATAAATAAAATTATTGAATTTTTTTTTTTTTCTCTAAAGAAAATGTTAATAAATAGTTTCGAAATATCAACACAACCTCCTTAAAACTATTAAAATGTTTAAAAAGGTTGCACACGCACGCACACACGCACGCACGCACTCGGCACAAAAGGGTTGTCGTAAAACAACAACATGATATTATTGTGTTTATATATGCGAGAAATAATGAATTGTGTTGTTGTTGTTGTTGTTGCTTCCGTCTCGAGTTTTAGTTATTAATAAATTATAAAATTCTTTTTTCATTCGATTTTATAATTCACGCGTTGGAAAGATAAGTTAAGAAGAGAGAGAAAGGGGAGGCGAAAGGGGGCGAGGAGGGAGGAAAAGAAAAGAAAAGAAAAGAAAAGAAGAGGAGTCTTAATTTTTTTTTTTTCCCGGGTTGAAAAGCATTTGCAATCGTCGTTAATCATTCTTCGGGGATTCATTTACAATCATATTTGAATAAATTATTCATCGTCGTATATAAAGAAATGAAAGGTTTGTGCGTGTGCGTGTGTGTGTAAGCGAAATAAAGAAAGAAAAAAGAGGTGTGTGGAGAGAGAGAGAGAGAAATGTTAATTTTATATATTCTCAATTTAGATCATATTTTATTTGCTTTGAGCGATGGAAGGAATTATTATTAATATTATTATTATTATTATTATTATTTTTATTGTTTTTCCTTGTTGTTGTCGTTTGTTGTTGTTTGTTTGTTTGTTATTTACGACAATTTTCTCGATGATCATCGATTAGCATTTATCAAAATTTTCTAAAATTATTATACGTTTAAAAAGGAAAAAAAGAAAAATTAAATTTTGTGGAAAATTCAGAAAAAAAAGAAGAAGAAAACTTCAAAGAGGGGAGGGGCAAAAAAATTTTTTTTTACTGAATAAATGACGAAGTGAAAATGATCATGCGTATGAAAAATTTTAACTTCTTTAAAAAAAAAAATAATTATAATAATAGTAATAATAATAATAATAATTATTATTATTATTATTATACAAAAAAAGTTGGTTTAAGTGGTTTTTTTCCAAAGGGAGAGAGAGAAGGAAGGGGGAAAGAGGGGGAAGAGAGAAAGAGGGGGAAACAAATAATTATTTATAATTAAAATTTTTTTATTTTACAAATGTTAGAATCACTATAAGTATTAACAACTTTTTTTTAATAATATTATTAGAAAGCTTTCACTCAAACCTTATCAAAAAAATAAACAAACAAACAACAAACACGAACTTTCATTATTTTTGTTATTATTATTAGTAGATCATTTTATATTTTTAATAATTTAACAGAAAAAAAAAAACAAGAAAAAGAAAGAAAAATTTAATTAAAATTAATGGGAGTAAAAAAAAAAAAAATCAAAACGGCGGCCATTTTTTTTTGTTTAAATTTTACATCGATTTATTTATTATTATTATTATTATTATTTTTAGAGAAAGGAAAAAAACGTGTAACTAGCGATGGCGACCTTTTTTTTTTTTTAAATACGAAATTTTTATTTCCGGAAAATCATTTTTAAATGAAAAAAATGAGGAAAATGAGAGAAAAAAAAAAATTAAAAAGGTTTATTATTAAAGCGTTTTTTTTTTTTTTTTAAATAATAAAATAAGGTATGGAATCGGTTTTGACCTTTTGACCCCCTTTTCGTTTACGGGTCATAATAATATTAATAATTTTTTTTTTTTTTTAAGTAAATTTTACCAAATAAAATAATTTTGTCATTTATTTTTTCACTTTTCCTAAGTAAGATTTTTCCGCGTTTAAAATTTATTATCGTTATTATTATTATCATCATCATCATCATTATCATTTTTATTTCACGTTTCAAAGCGTTTAAGATGATAATGAAAAAAAAAAAAAAAAGAAAAACTTTTTCCAGGGACAAATAAAAGTTTAAGGCGGAAATAGATAATAATAAGAATTCGTTTGTTTTTCGCCCGTTTTAGAAAAGATTTAGATAGGAAGGTTATTATCGTAGGAGGGAAAAAAAAGGTTTCTTCTGCTTCTGTTTTTGCTGTTGTTCTGCTGTTATTTTAAGGGTTAAATTTAAAAAGGTTGGTTGTCGCTTTCCACATCATTCATTTTCCAAAAAAAAAAAAAAAATTCTATAAATTATTTATCATTAGTTTTAAACCCGGAGATATTAATTAAATAAATTTTCCAAGGAAATGATAAATCCACAATTGTGCGCAAAGGAGTTTGTCTTTTTGTTTGTTTGTTTGTTTGTCCGTTTGTTTGTTTTAGGAAGTCGTAGTTTTACAAAAAAAAAAAAAAATACGTTATATTAGGTGTTCGTCCCTTCATTTTTTACTTTTTTTTTTTTTGTTGGTTTAAGGTTATTGCCGAATCGTTTAAATAAACAAACGTCACGTGCCCCCCGCCCCCCAACTTCCCCCCAGACACACATTTTCTAACAAATGAGCCGTGAAATTTGTTCGAATAAAAAAAACCTCGATGACGATGTTGGTTGTTGATAATCGTTTATGCTTTCATCGATACTTTCGAGTGTAAAAAATCGATGGATCGATCGATTGATCAAATAAATCAACGTCGGGGGGAAAGGAGAGGAGGGGAGGGGAAGAAATGATTTTTTCGACAACTTGATGATACGCATCCGGTCAATACTTCTCACTCAACTTCCGGTTTTAAATTTTCATAGTTTATAATCAAAAAAGGTTTAATTAAATTTTATTCAAAAGTCATCGTCGAATTCGTTTAATTTCCCCCCCCCTCTCTCCCTCTCTTCTCCCCACCCTTTGTCCGTACATTGGACGTTCGGTGGTTAAAAACACGTTCGAAAAATTAAAAAAAAAAGGGCAGAGAGGGGTGGGGTGGGAAATTTAAATTTTATTATTATATTACGAACGCGGCGTTCGTTTTATGAAAACCAAAGAGCAGTATTGATTTTCATCATCGTTTATTTACACTTCCGCCATGTTTTTTTTTTTTTCTAAATTCGAGTAGTCGAACGGTTTTTTCTTTACGTTTAGTTTCCTTATTTATTTTTAATAATAATGATGATGATGATGATGATGATGGCGGCGGCGGTTGTGTTTGAAAGATTCGAAATTTTCGTAATGAACGTTAAAAAAAAAAGAAA